AGCCATAATCTGGTCAAGCTCGTCAAGAGTAGACCTAGGGGGGTCGAGGACCATAAGCAAGTGAATCGGAAGAGAGCTAAGAGTGCTCTTGATCAGCGCTAGCCGACCACCGAAAGAAAGATATCTATGCGACCAACCGGAGATCCTGTCGATCATCCTCTGTCTGACGCCCGCAAAGAGCGCTCTCGTGAGGTTGCCCTTATATAAGGGGACCCCGAGGTAGGTAATGGGAAGGTCGCCACGCGCAAATCCAGTAATGTCGTGGACCCGCTGAGCCCACCTGTCCACTGTGGCAGATGAAAGGATGAAGGTGCTCTTCTGCACACTGACCAGCTGACCGGTGACCTAGCCATAGTGCTCCAAAAGGCGCATAAGCTCGACCAGTCCATCATCATCCGCCCTGGTGAAGATAATGATGTCATCCGCGTAAGAGAGGTGAGAGACGGTAGGACCATAGCCACAGGTGCTATAGGTCATGTGGGGAGAGTCGCGGATGAAGCCGTCAAGGCAGCGAGAGAGGTAGTCCGCCGCAAGAACGAAGAGGGAAGGGGAAAGAGGGTCGCCCTGTCTAAGGCCTCTAGAAGAGGGAAAGAAATAGGTGGGGCTGCCATTAATCAGGACCGAGAACGTGCAATGCTCCACACATGCCTCCACAAAGCTGATCCAACGCTCAGGGAATCCCATCCTAGCCAACGCCTCCCTAAGAAACGGCCACTCAACCCTATCATACGCCTTAGCCATGTCCAGCTTTAGCGCGATTTTCGGAGCCCGCTTCCAGTCCGCTCGGGAGATGTCGTGGATCATCTCCTGGGCCAGAAGGATGTTATCACTAATGACCCGATCCTTGACGAATCCACTCTGGTTCGGAGAGATGATAGAGGGGAGAAGAGGGGAAAGACGGCTGTTAAGAATCTTCGAAATGAGCTTGTTGGTCACGTTACACAGGCTGATGGGCCTGTAATCGGACCAAGAGCTCGGGTTGGGTCGTTTGGGGATCAAGACGACAGAGGTAGACGTGAAGGAATCCGGCATCCGGTGGCCGGAGAAAAAATCCAACATCGCCTCCTGGACGTCAGTCTCGACAATATCCCAACAGACCTGATAGAAGAGGGAGGAGAAACCATCCGGGCCAGAAACGCTGTTGGGATCAATCCCAAATACAGCATCCCTAACCTCCTCCCTACTCGGGAGCTCACATAGGCCAATGAGATCGACCGAAGGAGGGATGGTGGGGACAAAAGAAGCGTTCGGGGCCACGAGGGAACCTCTGTCAGATGTGAAGAGGGTCTGGAAGTGAGCAACAGCCGACTCCCGAATCTGAGCCTCCTGGGTCAAGGATGACCCATCAGCCTCGATGCTATGGATGTACGACTTAGCACGCTTCTGCCTAACATAGCCCTGGAAGAACCTAGTGTTCCGTTCGCCCTCGGCCACCCAGCGAACGGCCGCCTTCTGCTTCCAGAAGTCCTCTTCCATAAGGAGTCGGAGCTGGTACTCAGCGTGGCAGCGGTGCATGGCGGTCCTATTCTCCGGAGTGGGGTCCAGGTCATAGGCCCGCTCAGCCGACGCATGCGCACTCTGAGCTGCAGTAAGGCGGTGATGAAGGTTTCCAAAAATATCCCAGTTCCACTGTCTCAACCGACGCCGCAGTCTGCCGAGCTTCGCCTCGAGATTGCGCATCCCGAAGAGCCCAGTCGGCTGAAGCCAGGAATCCCTGATAGTGTCGTGGAAGGAGTGGTGGCGAACCCACATGTTTTGGAACCTAAAGGAAGCGCGGCGAGGAGTGCTCGAAAAACGACATCTAATGAGGAGGGGTGAATGGTCAGACCCAAATCGAGTGAGGTGCGTGACGGTCGTGACCGCAAACACCTTCGACCACGCTTCAAAAATCAAAGCACGATCGAGCCTCTCCTTGAGGTTGTCCCTAACCCACGTGAAGGGCTCACCCTCGCATCCAGCATCAAGCAACTCGCAGTCCGCCACAGTCTGCGCAAAATCCCACATCTCTCGGGATCTGTCCGTGCGGCCACCCACGCGCTCATCGGGGTGCAGAAAGATGTTGAAATCGCCACTAACCATCCATGGCAATCCCTCCATACTCTCTGCAATCTCACGCAGGGTGTCCCAAAGATCATATCGCCTGACCCTAGTACACTTGGCATAAACCAAGGTGTGAAAGATGGGCTCCGGGAGATGGGTAGCGGAAATCTCTACGTGAAGCACCTGATCGGTGTCGCGGAGGACCCGACAAGTGTAGTCACGCGAGTGGAAGAAGAAGATCTTGTGCGAAATATTACCCACGCCCGAATGGAAGCCCAGACGACGCGAGTAGTGGTCAAAAAAGGGAGTGCGAATCATCGGCTCAATAAAGCCAACAAAATCGACTATGTGGTCACGAATGAGAGAATGAAGATGAGAAAGAGTAGCCCTGTTCGCCAGGCTACGGCCATTCCAAGTAATGGATGTGATGGACATATCAACGGTCGCAAGAGCCACCGGACGTAGTCCGCCTATGGCGAGGCTGATTCGGGCCACCTACAGAATGGGAAGTCATCCGTCGTGTCGTGCGGCGGAAGGGTCCAATAGCAGGGGAGATCGTCCACCGTCTCGTATGCTGCGTGGCTCTGGTCCTCGAGGCCTGTCTGCCTCGGTATGTACTCGTAGCCTGTGAGTCGTCTGGCTGGACAGACTGACCTATAGCAGCATTAGCGGGTTGCCCCATCTCCGGGGCTGTCTCCCGTCTGTCAAGGTGAAGAAAAGCACTAGAGGCGAAGCTCTCGCACGAGACGTCATGCTGCGCGCGGTTGAGCCCGCATATCTGCTCGGGGATGGGCGAAAGAGAGGGTCCAACCGGCAGAGCGCTCGGGTGCTCGCCAGTAGGAGAGGGCTGAGAGCTGGCTATCAGCTCGACCGAGCTCCGAATCTCAGCAGGGATGGGGTGGGCCGACTCATCCCCTTTCGGGGGAGCGGTGGCGGCAGTAGCCCTCGAATCCGAAGGTCGGACCTGGCTAGATGCGCGCACGGTCGAAGGACCGGCATCGCGTGCACTATCGTTGGATAGGTGGATGGACTCTCTCCTGGCCGTGGCATCCGGCTGGTCCATGTCATCTCCAAGGAGGTCATCGTCATCCAGAATCGTAAGGTCGGTAATCTTAGGAGGCCTGCTGAAGGAAGGAACAGCCTCCTTCTCCGCCTGAGGGGAGAGAACAGCAAAGTATGAGTGGTTGGCCTTGAAGGCCGTCTGTAAGGTCTGTCTAGGAATAAAGCCCGTGGACTTGGGCTTGGGACCCACTAAGGCCAACTGCTTAGGCTGGTTAGGATGAACATCCTTCCCAGTTTGGGCAGTATCGACAATCAAAGCCTTGCCCTTATCCTTAGACCCCTTCGGGGTCTCAGGCTCGCGAAGAGGGCTTTTGCCCTTTCCCTTCGAGTTCCTCCGGCTGGTGGAGGTTCCCCTCTGAGTCGCGCGGTGGCGCTGCGGGATAGCGGGTCGTGGCTTATTGCCACTGATGTAGCAATCGGCCGCAACATGACCCACGTGGCTGCACGAGGTGCAGAACGCGGGGATCTTCTCATAGATCACCCGCTGAACAAGAGACTCCGAACCCTGTTCAATCTCAATTTCATGAACGAGCTCGGCTCTCACACGTTAGCCCTCGTCTGGAGGGCCGTCGGGGCGTCGATCCGAATCGGCTGCCCAATACACTTAGCTAGTGTAGTGATGGCAGCACGGTCATAAAGATGGGGTGGGAGGCCGGGAAGGCGGCACCACACGGGGACGACCGGTGCCTCCGTCTTCGGGTTAAACCCGACATAATATTTGAACACCCTAGTTGGGCATCCACACAGATGAATCGAGGTCTTAAGCCAGACCTCGTTATAATCATCGGAAAGGTGAAACGAGACTAGAAGGTGGTTGAAATTGTACCACTTCGACGACACTCTACCCTTAAATCCCAGTTTTCCTAACCCAGCAGATATTTCTCGGGGAGCGGGGATAGCATATGAAAACTTAAAGACCAGGGTGTTAGCTAGTTTACCTGCAAGAGCAACAGATTCGGCTTCAGTGTATCGGGCCTTCACCTTGTTTCCCTCCGAGCGGATGATGGTTCCGCAGGCATGCTCATAATTCCCGTCAAAGGTAAAATCCTTTGCCGTCGGACGTGATCCGAGAGTGTGGATGTTTTTCTTCCCCGTAATCGCTTCTAGGAAAGAGAGCGGCCCAGTGGATGTGCCCGGAAGAGATTCGGGCGCAGCGGGGATAGCTTTGGGTGTGCCCGTTGGCGGTGTCCCGTTCTTGGAAGGTCCGATAGGGTGAGACACCGACGCCGTAGTTGGTTCCGTAACCATAATGCCATCTTCTCGCGTATGCATGACGGCCGGGTTAGAATTTCTGGCCGCAAAAATGGCAGCTCCGTCGAGTTGGATGGTCGGAGGAGGTGAGGTTGGTCGGGGACCGAGGATTCCGGCCGAGGGATTTAACTCCCGGGTATTTCCGATAGGATTTCCAAAGAAATTTGAATTTTCGGTTACAAAAATTGCCGGATTAATATTTCCGATGACCTTGCCGGCGCTGTCGCCGGCGTCGGTGCCGCCGTTAACTGTGGGGAGGTTGGCTGCCGGTTGGATTTTGCATCCGCTGGGGTGGGACGTGGGTTGCGAAGGTGCCGTTTGGGAGTTGGAGTCCCTGTTTGTGGAGTGGGCTTTAGGATTGGTAGTATCTGGGCCAGATGGTTGGGACATATTTGATTGAGGGTGAAGGAGAGGAGAAGGGTTCGGCCCAATATTAATTGAATGTGGTTGGGCCTTATCAGAAACGGCCCAACTGGTTGAAGAAATGGTAATGCGGTTTGTGGCCTTTTGATCCTTCAGCTGAGGGTTTTTCTCTAATGATTCGCCTCCATTCAAACTGCACCGTTGACTGACATTAATGTCTGCCGGCATCTCCACCGACAACGCCGGAACCAGACCAGATCGAACCAGGTGACCGTTATTATTTTCAGCTTTCCCAGACTCGGCGAGCGTGGATATCGGGTTGACCTGAGGTCCTTTCTTCGACGTTGTTGTTGGCTTGTCCTCGGCGTCGGAGCTTCCAGATTTTCGGTTGTCTAGCTGCGGACTTGCTGACAGAACCGTATCCTTGGCGGCGGAGAGAGAAACAAAGCCTGTGTTGGTCGTATCCTGTGGCTCCTTACACCCTACTGCTGCGGCGACGGAGCTAGGTGTGGCGGTGGGACTGGAGCTCATTTGATTCATATGTTTTTCGGTTTTGTCTTGTGATTTATGACGTGGATCTGATTGAGAAAGTTTGGCATGTTGGTGTATCGGGATAACAGCATCTCCTATTCTTTCACCTTTTTCCATTTTTTCTCCTTCTATTTTGGTTACGGAAAACGCGGATTTGAACTTCGTGAGAAAAGCTGAGAAAGCTTCACGAAAATCCTGTTGATTCGCCAAAAATTCCAAATCTGAAAATTGGATGGGGGACGAGGGTTGACTGGTTGCCGAGGTGCTAGTTGATGGATCCATGAAGGAACCTAAAAGGAGAAAAATGACAGGACCGGCGGCCCGGCGGCCGGCCGCCGGCGACGGCGACTGGTGGCAGAGACTATGCGGCGGTGGTGGTGGTGGCGGCGGGGGTTTGGTTGGGTTTGAAATGAAAAAATCCTAGATCTATGCACAGGTTGGGTTTGAAATGAAATGGCGGCGGGGGTTTTGGGCTCCC